AAAAAAAAAAAAAAAAAATTTGAAAAAGGTATTTCATGTGTTGTCAAGCTTGCTAAAATTCAATAAATTTATTAGAAGGGTTTTTAAAAATTAGCTTTAATATCAAAAGTACATTGATACAAAGCTAGACACTGGCTTTTTTTTTCTGTTGAAAGAACAAAGTTTTCTTGGTGAAAGGTTTTTCTTTTAAGTAATTTACCTTACAAGGATTTGTGTTTTATTAGGATAATTTCTTGTGCTTCATGTTGTCTTTTACTTGGTATTTGATTATATATATTTTAAAAAACTGAGTCTTCTCAATATTAAAAGAGCTAAGTTGTTTTAGAGCTATATAGCCTTTCTGTATTTGCCTCTCATAGTTTCATAATGCCTAAAGATCCTATTTAATCAAGTGTTTTAGACTTTTCGATATTTTTTACAAACTTCCCAAAATAAACTTCTAAAATAACTCTTTTTGACCTAGAACTAACTTTGGGACATCCCAGAGGACCCCTGTAATGTCTGAAAAGGTCTGTGCAGAATTTTTGAAAGATCGTAGCCATATTTATTGTTTTTGAGTATCACTGTCTACCTGTAGACGGGACTGATTTCTGAATTCATCTTGATTCCTCCAATCCAATTTTTTTCCCATTTTTTAGACTTGGAATCACTAAGAACAAGACGTGCTCTGTTCCTGAAACCCCGCAAGACAGATATAGACAACTTGATATGACTTCAGAGGATGACCCTTCTGCCACATATGTGGACCACTCAGGGAGATCATTGAAACCCTCAGTGCCATAACCAGAGACATTCAAACTGCGAGCCAGAAAAATATGTTTCAAGCTCCAAACTAAATTTCCTCTGGACTCAGACTGAGTTTATAGTTTGCTCTAGTCATTGACCTTTGGTTTTCTTTTGTTTCTCTAGAAATGTTAGTTGGGTTGGTTTGTGAGGACCATGTCTAAGAAACATACTGCAGTCTCTCAGTGTTACCCTACGGGTAGTCGCCATCATCCCCGTTGAACTATATTCACTTGAGGTCTTAAATGTGTGTTCACAGTCATCAACAGAATGCCAGATGGCCTCACTGTAATTAGAGCAACAAAAATGAGATGAACAACAAAAGGAATCTTTCCTCAATGAGCTTTGATGTTGTGACTTGTGAGTTTCACACTGAGACAAAGATAACTTAGCAATGATGGCGGCAGAGAGTGATGCTTATGCCCAAGTTTTAGTCAATCTCTCATAAATGAGAGGCTGATCAAAAGGGATGAATTAATTGTTAAAATTCTAATTGGGAGGCCATTAGACTGAGGTGGCTCTGGCACTTTAAATTCCTACGTGAACAAACCAAAGCCCAATGTAAATAGTAAATTTCAACTAGAAAGTGTACCAATCAAAAAAATCATCAATTAATCTCTAACTAGGGACTTTCGACTCTAACCAATAAAAATTGCTTTCTTTGTCCTGTTTCTGCAAACACTATAAAAGTTTCCTTTCTTGCCCCTCCCAGCAGAAAGTTTGCAGTCTCATACTGCCCTGATTCATGAATTGCAGAATACTCAAGTAAACTCTTTAAAATTTAAATGTGCTTAAGTTTTTCTTTTATCGCACCTGACACCAAAAGCATGATTCAAAAAGAAAAAATTAAGAAGTTGGACTTCAAAATCAAAACTTTCACTCTGCAAAAGACTCTGTTAAAAGAATAAAAGACAAGTTAGCCCCCAGGAGAAAATACTTGCAAGCCACTTATCCAACAGAGGACTAGGATCTAAAATATATAAACAAGTGTCAAAACTCACCAATAAAAAACAAACATGACCAGACATTTGAGTGAGGAGGTTACGCAGACGCTAAGTAAGCACGTGCTTCATCAGCAGAAAATTGTCTTTATTTGCTCTTCCCGTCAATGTTTAGCAAAACTTGTCAATTGTCCTGAGGCAATCCCCACTCCCTCTTACCTCCCTTTCCCCCTCCCCCAGCCCCATCTTCCTGCGTACTTTCTTCTATTTTCAAACTGTGCCCTGCTCCCCACCTGTGCCCTCCTCCGCACCTGTGCCCTCTCACAGAATGTGAGGCAACCTGACTTCCCTGATTTGGTTCTCAGAGGTTCTGTCTATTCCCAAATTAGCACTCCCATCTACTCCATGCTGTGGACTTTATCCTGGTATCCAGAGGAAGGCAATCCTGGTGCAGATAAATCGTACCAAATCTGGCCAAGCCACTGAGAAGTGAAGCAAGTTGGTAAGGGAAGAGAAGCTTTCAGGTCTGTGGGAGAGGGAGAGCCACAGCTGGGTGCAGTCAGAAGGCTCTTTCTGATGCTCCCCTTCTCATGCCACAGAGGCCACCAGGTTCTTTCCCGTCTCCTGTTCTCAGACCAGCAAGACAAGATGGACTAACCTGAGGTTTTCTCTTCCCTAAGCAGCAAAAAGCCTTTGCGGTTCAAATCAGTGCTAAAAGTGCCAGTTGATGGCAAGCAAACTAACCTCTAGTTATTTCATAGCCAGATATGGTAAAAGTAGTGGAAGTAGGGCTCATTAAGGGGGCAGGACAAATGACCTAGCACAGAGGGGACAAAAATTGGTGTGCACGTGAAATCCATAGGGACAGATATACACAGAATTAAAACAGTGGAGGGTGGAGGCTTTCAGGAGCCTTTGAAACTCCCAGGTGGCATGCAGGTTGGACACACATCCTGCATGGACCTTTCCTGCCCTGCCGGGATATCCTGTGTTTGTCAAAAGGACCACACAGGGAAGCCCTGACTATTGTCCTTCCCAAAATCTGCCGGTGAGCCCCTCCCCAGCCTGAAGCAGCCGCTCCCGGCAGAGGAAGAGTAACTCTGGAAACAGCGTTATCAGCATCCTCCACTGACTTCCTCACCTCCTCCGCAGCCTCGTTAGCCAGAAGCTCCTCATCATCCTCAAAGAGAAACCTGGGAGGCTGGGATGGGATCAGCACCCAGACGCCAGCCCCCTCTGACAGCTTCCTTTTTGGCCAAGCCCTGCCTCTGTACAACCCCGAGTGGGCAGCCAGAGGCTGCAGCTGGAGCCCAGAGCCCAAGATGGAGCCCCATTTGGGGCCTGAGGCTGCCGCCCTCCGCCACGGCTGGCCGGCCCTGCTGCTGTGGGTCTCAGTCCTGAGCTGTTCTTTCTCCTTGCCAGCTTCTTCCCCTCCTTCTCTGGTGCCCCAAGTCAGAACCAGCTACAATTTTGGAAGGACTTTCCTCGGTCTTGATAAATGCAATGCCTGCATCGGGACATCTATTTGCAAGAAGTTCTTTAAAGAAGAAATAAGGTCAGAATATCAGTCAAATAACTCTGAGTCACTAAATTCTGTTCCCTTCTTGTGAAGATGTCCAGGAATTTGTTGAAAAGGAATAAGGATGTAATATATGTGTGGGAGCTGAAACAAATCCTTTTAATCAGAGTGGTAATGGTCTGAAGCTGGGGTGGGTAGGAGGATGATGTAAAGCCAAATTCCAGCCCTAAATGCTAAACCCAACATTTCCTTTTGAAGTGAAAGCTTGAAGTTTTCTTTCCTATGAGCAGAGTAGCCTGGGATGGTTGAGTTTACCAAGTTCATTTCTCACGGTCGGCGGGATATAAAATTTGTAGAAAGCCTGCAATGTGATAGATATTTTAAAACCATCGTGAGACTTAATGATGTGCACCTATTATTGAGGTGGAAAGCTGAGACATAGCAAGATAAAGTGACTTCAGTGGGGGAAATGGATAACTTTGTGAGATGATGGGACCCGTTTCGCTATGTATATGCATCTTATAACATCATGTTGTATACTTGAAATATACACAATAAAATTTATTTTTTAAAAAAGATTAAGTAACTTGCACAAGGTTACCACCTAATAAGCGGCAGATCTGGGATTCAAACCAGGACGGTTTGCTCCAAGTTTCTGAGCCAGCTTTCTGTTCTGAGAGATTGCCTTGATCAGAGGAAAACCGGACTTTAGTAAACTGCATGCACATGGCGCTCAGCAAAGAATGGGGTCACGCTCTGGAATTCAAGGCTATCAACACACAGTCGATGAGCCTTTACCACGGCCAAAATCTAGCAGGGACTTCGGTGACAGCAACTATAACTCTGGTCATCGCTTTCTAGGGGGTCAAGACGAGGGAGTCATTTTAAAAGTGATAATATTAAGGCTTGGTCTGATGCAGGGCAGTGTAAAGGACCTCCAGGAGCTCCATTAATTCCAAATGGGAGCTGGGGAAGGGCTCCCCCACGAGGAGGTGTTCTGAGCAAGGCCGTTTAAAGGATGAGCTGAAATGCAATGGGAGGTGAAGGGCTTTTAAGGTGGAAGTAACATCTTAAACAAAGGTATGGGAAGAGGAAAAAGGTGTTTAGCAGCTAGAGCGTGGGATGTATGTGGCGGCATGACAGAGGAGGACATTGAAGGGATATATGGGGCAGGGGGTCTTTAACTGCCATGCCAAGGAATTGCGGCCTTAATCCCGTGGACCACTGGTTCCCAGTCTTTTCAGTACCAAAGACCCTTTGTCATATGCCCTTTCTCCTCCATCTTCCTCAAACGACCTGACTTATGCTTGTAAGATTTGGTGACCAAACAAAAGGCATTAAAATGATTTTATTTGCAATCTGTATTAATCAAAGACATTTTTGCTTACTCAACTAAATTACTAAATAGAAATAATAGACAGAATACCAATCAAAAATCTTAAACGTCTTCTGTGAGGCATTTTATGGAGTTGCTTTTCCTATTCAGCCTTTTTAAAGGCATATTAAACCTTTTTAAAGGCATTTTTGAAAGACCACCCGTTGAGGAATCTCTATTGCAGACCATGGTGAGAGTGTTAGGCTGGAGAGGGGCAACGTGAGATGTGCGATTTGGGAAGAGCTCGGGGAAAATGTACAGGACGGACTGGTGGTGCTGGCAGGGGCTATGAGAGCAGTTCCCATAGTCCAGGACGCGAGTCATGGGGAACAAAGTCAAATAGGAAGGATACAAGTCGGTTCAGCTATAGAGTCATTCTGTTGACCAACACCATGTGAGAGAAAGTCAATATTGGAGATGTCGAATGTGAATTCAAGGTTTTCTGCCTGGGAAATGAGATGAAGAGGACCAAGAACACAAGGGAAGGGATGCTGATTCCTTGGAGAGAGGAGCCAAGGAGAAGGCAGATATATTTTAAAATAGGAGGGAGAGAAATTTAAGGGTTCAACTGAGGAAGAGCTCTAGGATGACTGCATATTCACCAAAGGGCAATAAATGAAGTTGTTCTTTCCAGGCAGATGCTAGCCAAATTCAGAAAGCATTTCCCTAAATAGGTTTGTGTTCCATTAGAGTTCAGGATATTACTTCATCTCCCTTAGAATTCATTTTCCATGTGCTCGTGAGAGGGAAGTGTGCAGATACAAGCAGGAAAACACCAGGCAGGGCAGATTGATGATCCTCAGCACAAAGAGGCAGACAGAGGCAGTCGGTGGGTCTGGGAAGGTGGTCCTGTTTAGAGTTCTTTTCTCTACATTATAAATAACTTTTTTTCTTATTATTAAAGTTGTGCCTGTTTATTTTAGTATTTTCAGGAAAGATTGATTAAAGAAAGCACAAAATAAAATCACATATAATTCTTCCACCAAGAGATCACCCCTTCGTGAACATTTTCTTGCATATCCTTGCCACCCTTTTTCTAAGTGTGAATTAAGAAAATTTTTTACCAAAATGTGAACATGCTATGTAGACTTTTTGGAAACAATTATTTAACAATACATCCGGGACATCTTTCCATATTATTGAATGATCTTCTGCACACTTTGATTTTTAACAGCTTCATGGTATTCAATCACGTCAATCAACCATAATTTATTTAACTAAGTATAACTTATTTAATTATTTAACCATAATTTATTAAAACCGCCATTGTGAGACCAGAGGTGGTTTTTTTGTTTTGTTTTGTTTTGTTTTTCTTTTTTTAACATGGGGTTTCACCATCATGGCCAGGCTGGTCTTGAACTCCTGGCCTCAGGTGATCCACCCACCTCGGCCTCCCAAAGTGCTAGGATTACAGGCATGAGGCACCACACCCAGCTGAGACCAGAGATTTTTAATTTCACTTTTTGGTATTATAAACAGTTCTATGTTAAACATTCCTGCAGCTATGTTTTGTGCACATCAGTGATAAATTCCTTATGACAAACTTCTAAAAGTGAAATTTCTGGGTCAAAAAGACAAAATGGAAGGAGATATATATATATCTAAATAGAGACTTCTACTTGTAAAGCTCACTTCTTGCACGCTTACAAATATTTAATACTTTTTTTAGCTGCATTTCTTCTGAGTTGAAACTTTCTTCAGATTTCTTGACCATTTGTATTTCTTCGTTGCTAAATTTTCTACAGGTTCACATCCTTTGCCTCTCTTTCTAATGGTGTACTTGTTCATTGTGTTCTTGTTGATTTCCAAACGTTTTCCCACTTTAAAAGAGTGATTACCATGACACCTTAGGAGAAAGCCCATCCAAAACTGTCAGCTATTTGGTTCAAATGCTATAGCCAGGTCCTAGTCCTCACTAAGGATTGGAAAATGCTTGCATCTGTTCAGCAGCAGATCATAGATGGGCTTCCCAGACTGACTGGATATGCTGAAGACACATGACTAACAGATAAACGTCACCTTTCCTCTTTTCTCTTGTCTTTCCTTTGGCAAGAATGCTAAGGATGAATCACATACTTCCCATACTCAACCACTGACCTTTAAAATTATGAATGTTTACAGTACCAATCTTCCCATGCATTCCATGTTGACTTTTAAATCCTGAATGAAAAAGTTAAGGGAAGCTAGGAAAATGAGTCAGCCTGATTGCCATACTCTTCCTACTGACAATATACCTATATATGAAACCCTGAGAAGTCACACCAATTGGTAAGATCTCCCATGATCTGGTTGGTCAGTATTGTGCATGCGGGGTGTGGAGGTCGGGAAGTAAATAGTGGCAGTACCTCTGATCACAATAATCCCTATGAGTTCTAGGCTCTTACCAGGGCTAATGCTTTATCTCACCTTCCTTACTATACACACTTGGTCTTCTATACCACCTCTACTATCAAAGTCTTAAAAAAATGTTTAAACACTTCCAACTGAGCAGTGGAGGGCTCATAGTAAAATAACTAACTCATCAGGCCTGATTTGGCCGTCCCTTCTCCCTTGCCTCTTATCTGTCTCCTTGCCCTCAGAAGTTGATAATAATTATTGTCTTAACTCACTTCTTTACATCAACTCAGGGGCCTTGGGAAATACAGGGCTCAAGAGCTTATGGCAAAAGTATTCATCTACACGTTCAGTCATCCTTATGTGAACCCATGCACCCGTTCATCCACCATCCATCTACCTATTCATCCAGGTAGCCCTCTACACATTCTTCCACCCAACCATCACTCTGTGCATCCCACCATCCAGCCCTCCATGTATCTCTCTACTCACATATCTATCTGTACACCTGAATACCCATTCATCCATCCAACTGCAAAGTATTGAGCACTAACTTGGTACTCTGCTAAACACTGAGTTACAAACTTAAAAGAGGTCAAATCTTTGCTCTGAAGGAGTTTATTTTCTATTAGGAAGACCAATAAGCAAATCAATGGTTAAAACAGAGTATGGGAAATATTTTTAAATGTCTTACACAGGGTATCATGGGAGTGTATGGGAAGGTCCCACCTGGGGGTGAGGGAGTGAGTTCCAAAGAGGTGGTACCCATCTGGGTTTTAAAGGGCTACATAGGGATTTTCCAGACAAGGAAGAGAAAGAAAGTGTCTCAGACAAAGGTGTCAGCATATGACAGGTGGCTGGAACCTCAGAGGCCCGAAAGAATGTGGCTTATCCAAGGATAGTCAGTGGATAAGCCATATTTGGTGAGATCAAAGCAAACTTGTAAAAAGAGCAGAAGGCAATGCAGCAGGCCGAGCATTGTGAACTAAGCTCTAAGCACTAAGGAGCATGAACTGTAGCGTGAGAGCTTTGGAAAGACACTGAATGGTTTAAGGGTTCAGTGCAGAGCTAGGGGATGAAGAAGAGGGAAGAGAGGAAAAACAAATTTAGGAAGGCATATCTACAGACTTTGCGTTTGACCAGACACAAGCATCAGAAGAATGCATGGGAAGAGGGCATTTTATTTGAATTCCAAAGCTGTCTCCCTCGCCTACACCCCCATCCCATGTTGAGGGATTTAGGGGGATTGGACCACATGGCCTTGATGCTTTCTCCCAGCTCTGAGAAACTGTAATTCTGCTTGTCCGTCTTTCAACACAATGAGGAACTTGGCCAGCCTCACACCAGTCAGGCCCATGATCTCAATTTAGGAGGAGGATTAGAATGCTGTCTCTGCTTTGTGGTTGTCCAAATTCCAGGATAGGAACATTTTAGTGAATCAAAACCACTGACATTTTCTCACTGCCATTCTTCTATTCAATAAAGTAGGCAGTCAGTGCTGTAAGAATATATATTTTTCCCATTCAATGCAATAAGTGTATTACCGTTTTGAATGAGGGGAGAAGTACAGCCTGTAATCCTGTTTATTTGTCTCAATTAGTCCTTATGGAATGCCTCAAGGCATCACGGAACCTGCCCAGGCACTCATTATTAGTCATCTGCCAAGAAGAGCCTCCTTAGGAGGTGGGGACAGAAAAAAAAAGGACAATGAACTTGTCTCAAAGGGCAGGAAATCTCTTCCCACACCACCCCCACCAGCTGGGAGAACAGGAGCTTTGAGTTCTGCCCTCCTCTACCACTAATTGCCTGTGAGTCTTCAGAAAAGTCATATGTATATTCTGCATTTAATTTTCTCATCCTCAAAACAAGATGCAGAATGGAACAGGGACAAAATAATCCTCAAGGATCCTGCCACTTATAACTCCTAATAACGTTACCAATCTGTTTCTATGAGCTAATTCATAAAATGGGTGATAGAGGAATAAGCAACCACAAAGTGATAAAAGAAACAAAATTAAAATTACTGGGGCCAGGCACCTTGGCTCATGCCTGTAATCCGAGCACTTTGGGAGGCCGAGGGGGGAAGATCACTTGAGGTCAGGAGTTCAAGACCAGCCTGGCCAACATGGTGCAACCCTGTCTCTACTAAAAATACAAAAATTAGCCAGGTGTGGTGGCACTTGCCTGTAATCCCAGCTGAGGCAGGAGAATTACTTGAACCCAGGAGGTGGAGGTTGCGGTGAACCAAGATTGTGCCACTGCACTCCAGCCTGAGCGACATAGTGAGATTCAGTCTCAGAAAAAAAAAAAAAATTAATTGGGATTCCTTGGTGTTGGGTATGGAGGTGCAGTGGTATCCCCACTGCAAGCTCTGGAGCCTTGAATGCCACTTCCTCCAATTCTTGGTCATGTGACCTTGGGCAAATGACATAATCACTCTGTGCCTCAGTTTCCTCATCTGTATGTTAATAATAGTATCAACTTCATAGGTTTATTGAAAGGATTAAATGAATCAGTACATATAAAGTGTTTAAGTAAAGTGACTGGCACACTTAAGTGTTTCACAAATATTTGTTACTATTATCATTATCTAAAAGAGTCACCTAGTGATAACTTTCCTGCTCCCGTCCCTTTGGTGGTTAGTGGGGCGGGGAGTGGGGGTGAGTTTGAAACTCCATGAGCAAGAGCAGCTGCAGGATACAGGCAGACAGGCCCGTCTCTGGGTCTTGGGCCCTTATCCACCTAGAGGGGAGGATCATTTCCCATAGTTGTCGTGAAACTTCTAGTAAAATGGACTCATTCCAAGCTTACAGTGTTTCATCTTTTCAAATACATTGATGGCAGTGTTCTTGTACAGAATCCTTTGTGCCTACTTCCGTTGCAATTTGCATCGTCCTGCGTTGCAGAAGTTACTCACTGGCAGTTTCCACTGGAGCACCTTCCCAGATGTGAGAGGCTGGAGCTCTAGTGCATAACTCAGGGATTCAGAGGGCTGGGCTCTCCAGCTTCCTGGCTGAGTCCCTTGACCTCTTTGCCCTTGTAATTTTTGTGTGTGACTTTCTTTGCCATCAGAACAGTGAGAAAAGCTTGCAGTCTCTTAGGGTAAAGTTGTGTTGGGTAAGGGAGAAAAACAACTCAATCTAGGGTTTGGGCCTAGTCGAAATGTTAATTCTTCCAAAACTCATTATCCAAAACTCATTATCATGGGGTGGCCCAATAATAAGAATTTAAATATTCTTATTTAAATTCAGTATATAACATGTCTTATGCGGCTTGATTTTCATTTGCTGTATGACCTTCAATTTTTAATAATAATGAAGGTAAACTTTTTCTGAGTAATTTTTTGTACATAAATCAAAAAGAGATTTAACATTCTTCCCTAATGGAAATATCAGCACACAGCTGGAGAAATGACTATGGAGAAAACATAACTGTGGGGCCTAGGAAATTGGCAGATGATAATAGGTCAATGCTGGCCAGGCGCGGTGGCTCATTCCTGTAATCCCAGCACTTTGGGAGGCCGAGGCAGGCGGATCAGCTGAGGTCAGGAGTTCGAGACCAGCCTGGCCAACATGGAGAAACCCCGTCTCTACTAAAAATACAAAAATTAGCCAGGCATGGTGGTGCGTGCCTGTAATCCCAGCTACTTAGGAGGCTGAGGCAGGAGAATT